GGCGTTTTTTGCATGTTAAAGGGGACGTCCAATCTTGTAATTATGCGAACCCTTAACGACCTGATGGTAGATGCTTTATTAGTTGTGTCTGAATGTTCTACGACATGCAACGCAAAGCGAAAGCTCAGCTTCAAGTTTAATGAAATACGCCGTAGGTTCGTGGATGACATGGCACACATTTGCCATTGCCTGACTAAATAATTTCGCCTGTAAGATTTTCGAATTGCATGCTGCAACAATGCATCCGGGTATCATTAATTTTCCAACGCATGTATGATGGTAGAGTAGATATCGTACTCGATTGAAATTAATCGGCGCTGCTGGTATCTAAAGCTTTTCACTGAAATCACAAGTGCAATAAATTATGTTACCTAAATTGGATTGTGTGGATCCTGAGGCATCTTCCTCATGAGTCCCTGCAATGTAATGACTTGGAGGGTGCCCATTTGCCTGTCATTCATGTGTATGTAATGTATAAACAAATGAAAGTGTATTAACAATGCGTACAACTAGAGCATTACGTTTAAATACATTATTGTATTTGCTCAATTGAAGGATTTAAAAGAATTCAAGTAAATTCTGAAGAAACAAAGCCACATTAGTAATTATAAATGCCTTAATTACATTTAGTAGATTCCAGAATTCCAGATAAATTCAGAATTCACAAGCAATTGAAGACCTTGTGTATAAGAAGTTAAGAAAAAATTAAGCTCTTACATTTTCTGTAGGTATGTTAGTTATTTGAGCGCGATCTTAAATGTAGCCTTTATCTTCATGCATTTAGTACGTTGTAGTCTCACCACCAATTATTCCCGTACCGAATGTAAATTAAACATAACTTTTTACGTGTTCAGGCGGTCCTTGTGTAATTATAGGGGTTTACACTATAGTTGAATTCTGCAGTTCTAACTTAATAAGCGTATATCTGCAACCATAAAAAATTTTTTGGATAGTAAAAGTTTATTTAAAAATAGTGGCTGATTAGAAATAAAAATAATGAAAATGTATTGTATCGGGGGTTTATTTAAAACGAGATGATTGTGGCGGGCTTTGTGACGCATAAGCCCGACCAATCAGCTGCTAGAACCATTCAGATGACATCACCACTTGGCAATATTGCAGGAGAATGTCGCAGGCACTTGTTTGTTACTTGTCATTCACTTTCGTGTGGAAGTTTGGGCCTCACAAAAGGTTGCCGGCTCACTTCTACGTGATTGGTTGTAGGCGTATGACGTATTTAGACTGAAGCATTTCAAATTCGGACAGTTTTTCAATCATTTATTTTGGGTGTATTTTACTCCCAAATAAAAATTCAGGATACACGGATCTTTTCATTTTTAACGTACTTTGTAGATCAGAAATGAAAAATGAAG